ATATATATATATATATATATATATATTATGCACACACAAAGAAAAACAAGTAGATAGAATAGATAAAATAGAAAGCTAGTGTTTTTTTGTTTTTTTTAAATAAACATGGAATGAGAAGTAGAGTTGAGTGTCATCAGCATAGCAGTGATATGAAAAGCCATGTTTCTGAATGACAGAACCTAGTGATGCCATGTAGACAGAGAAGAGAAGTGGTCCAAGTACTGAGCCCTGAGGCACCCCAGTGTCTAGATGTTGCGACTTGGACCCCTCACCTCTCCAAGATACCTTGAAGGACCTATCTGAGAGGTAAGACTCAAACCACTGGCATGCGGTTCCTGAGATGCCATTTTCCAACAGGGTTGACATATTTTGGTTGATATGGTTGATTATATTTTTTAAAGTAATCATTTCAATCATTTTAAAAGTAATAAATTAAATAATGGATACATTTTTAAGTAATACTTGTTACAATAAATAATACAATGCGAATTGTGTTATTTAAATAATAAAAATAATACATTTTCACCAATTTTATTTCCTGATTGTAATTATTTAAATAAGGTATTAATAAAAAGAATTAACTTTTACAATAATTAAGACAAATATAATTTATATTCTTTAAAAACAATAATAATAAATATACATTTTCACCCATTTTATCATCTCAGATAACACGTTTAATAAAATAATTTATGAATTTACATCTCACAGGTAAATGTTTAATAATTCAAATAATGTATGCATTTTCAGTCATTTTAAAACAAATAATTTGATAATGTTAAAACAAATCATGTAAATTTTAATAAGTTAAAAAAACTATTTAATAACTATAATAATTGTAAAAGTAATTCTTTAAACAATATATTAACTTTTTTACTAAATAACACATTTTGCAATAATTAGGACGAATGCTATTTATATGATCTATATTATACATTTTCACTCATATTATTATATACAGTCGAAAATTGCCAATCTAATCGCTTACCATTCACGTTTGTACCATAAGTCGTGCCAGTGTTTAATAATTAGGCTTCGGCCTTTATTCATAACACTAATACAAAGTATAAGTACTAGTCATAGTGATGCTGGTGACGTCTCACTTGTTTGTCTTCATCTTTCTCCATGTTCTGCGTCTCTTCATTTAGGACGTTCTCCTGAGTATCGTCCTCGTGGTCCTGTAGAGCTCTGTCACTCCTGCTGCTGCTCTCTGAGGGAGCCGGGAGATGTTCAGCGTCCGTCTCTTGCTCTCCAAACTCAGCGTGACCTTTGACCTCTTCTGACCACCAGCCGGACCAGACGTGCCAGCCGGAGTCCTGCGAGGACGACTGAGTGCAGACTGATGAAGCTTTGGCGACGCTGGAAGAGAGAGTATTAGGTGACAAATAGCGTGTCTAGAGCGACAGGAAGTGAAAGTCTCAAAGGCAAAGCAGAGGGTTACAGAGAGAAATGAGGGGGTGAATTTCCCCTCACTGTCCTATTTATGAAGTGTGAACGTAAGATACTACTCAACAATGTCTCTCATCATCTTAAACACCAAAACATTTGGTGTAGGACTGACAAAAACAATTTTCACTCAGAAATTGCTAGTAAATTTCACAAACAATTACATTTCATTACTTTTTGTTCGTCATGCATTTTATGTACCATGTAAGGTTTGTTTTTGGAGTACATTATTTCTAGGTTTTTGGACCACAAAACCAGTCATAAGTGTCCATTTTTTAAAATTGAGATTGAATAAGCAAGCTTTCCATTGATGTGTGGTTTGTTGGGATAGGACAATATTTGGCTGAGATACAGCTATGTGAAAATCTGGAATCTGAGGGTTCAAAACAATCTAAATATTGAGAAAATCGAGAAAAATAAGTTCTTAGCAATGCATATTACTAATCAAAATTGAGTTTTGATATATTTAGGGTATTAAATTGACAAAATATCTTCATGGAACATCATCTTTACTTAATATCCTAATGATTTTTGGCATAAAAGAAAAATCGCTAATTTTGACCCATACAATGTGTTGTTGGCTATTGCTACAAATATACCTGTGCTACTTATGACTGCTTTTGTGCTCCAGGGTCACATATGTTGCAATTCATTTGCACTTATTTACATTTACATATTTGTTATTGTAATTTAGCTCTTTCCTTAATTTCTTGAGTTGTTTTTGTTTTCTTTATTCTATATAGAAATATTTTTTATTCTTTATTCTATAGCCTCTATCTGCACAGTATTGAGAAGTAGAGTTGAGTGTCATCAGCATAGCAGTGATATGAAAAGCCATGTTTCTGAATGACAGAACCTAGTGATGCCATGTAGACAGAGAAGAGAAGTGGTCCAAGTACTGAGCCCTGAGGCACCCCAGTGTCTAGATGTTGCGACTTGGACCCCTCACCTCTCCAAGATACCTTGAAGGACCTATCTGAGAGGTAAGACTCAAACCACTGGCATGCGGTTCCTGAGATGCCATTTTCCAACAGGGTTGACATATTTTGGTTGATATGGTTGATTATATTTTTTAAAGTAATCATTTCAATCATTTTAAAAGTAATAAATTAAATAATGGATACATTTTTAAGTAATACTTGTTACAATAAATAATACAATGCGAATTGTGTTATTTAAATAATAAAAATAATACATTTTCACCAATTTTATTTCCTGATTGTAATTATTTAAATAAGGTATTAATAAAAAGAATTAACTTTTACAATAATTAAGACAAATATAATTTATATTCTTTAAAAACAATAATAATAAATATACATTTTCACCCATTTTATCATCTCAGATAACACGTTTAATAAAATAATTTATGAATTTACATCTCACAGGTAAATGTTTAATAATTCAAATAATGTATGCATTTTCAGTCATTTTAAAACAAATAATTTGATAATGTTAAAACAAATCATGTAAATTTTAATAAGTTAAAAAAACTATTTAATAACTATAATAATTGTAAAAGTAATTCTTTAAACAATATATTAACTTTTTTACTAAATAACACATTTTGCAATAATTAGGACGAATGCTATTTATATGATCTATATTATACATTTTCACTCATATTATTATATACAGTCGAAAATTGCCAATCTAATCGCTTACCATTCACGTTTGTACCATAAGTCGTGCCAGTGTTTAATAATTAGGCTTCGGCCTTTATTCATAACACTAATACAAAGTATAAGTACTAGTCATAGTGATGCTGGTGACGTCTCACTTGTTTGTCTTCATCTTTCTCCATGTTCTGCGTCTCTTCATTTAGGACGTTCTCCTGAGTATCGTCCTCGTGGTCCTGTAGAGCTCTGTCACTCCTGCTGCTGCTCTCTGAGGGAGCCGGGAGATGTTCAGCGTCCGTCTCTTGCTCTCCAAACCCAGCGTGACCTTTGACCTCTTCTGACCACCAGCCGGACCAGACGTGCCAGCCGGAGTCCTGCGAGGACGACTGAGTGCAGACTGATGAAGCTTTGGCGACGCTGGAAGAGAGAGTATTAGGTGACAAATAGCGTGTCTAGAGCGACAGGAAGTGAAAGTCTCAAAGGCAAAGCAGAGGGTTACAGAGAGAAATGAGGGGGTGAATTTCCCCTCACTGTCCTATTTATGAAGTGTGAACGTAAGATACTACTCAACAATGTCTCTCATCATCTTAAACACCAAAACATTTGGTGTAGGACTGACAAAAACAATTTTCACTCAGAAATTGCTAGTAAATTTCACAAACAATTACATTTCATTACTTTTTGTTCGTCATGCATTTTATGTACCATGTAAGGTTTGTTTTTGGAGTACATTATTTCTAGGTTTTTGGACCACAAAACCAGTCATAAGTGTCCATTTTTTAAAATTGAGATTGAATAAGCAAGCTTTCCATTGATGTGTGGTTTGTTGGGATAGGACAATATTTGGCTGAGATACAGCTATGTGAAAATCTGGAATCTGAGGGTTCAAAACAATCTAAATATTGAGAAAATCGAGAAAAATAAGTTCTTAGCAATGCATATTACTAATCAAAATTGAGTTTTGATATATTTAGGGTATTAAATTGACAAAATATCTTCATGGAACATCATCTTTACTTAATATCCTAATGATTTTTGGCATAAAAGAAAAATCGCTAATTTTGACCCATACAATGTGTTGTTGGCTATTGCTACAAATATACCTGTGCTACTTATGACTGCTTTTGTGCTCCAGGGTCACATATGTTGCAATTCATTTGCACTTATTTACATTTACATATTTGTTATTGTAATGTAGCTCTTTCCTTAATTTCTTGAGTTGTTTTTGTTTTCTTTATTCTATATAGAAATATTTTTTATTCTTTATTCTATAGCCTCTATCTGCACAGTATATGGATTGTATTTTTGTTTTGTTTTTATTGTATATATTTCATTCTTGTGCAAACAAACTAAATAAAAAAAATAAATAATAAAACACAAAATTCTTAAGTATTGTAATAGTAAAGATCGTAATATTATTTTGTTGTAAAACGCATTCCAATAATCTTTGTTTTATTTACAACTTGAAATGTAAAAAAAATTACACATTTAAAAAATATATATTTTTAATTATATATTTTATTTATTCAAATAAATAAATTTATTTAGCTATGCATTTATTTATTGATTCATTCATTGTTTTACTTAAATAAATGAAAATTTAAAAAAATTAATAAAAATTTTTTTAAAAAGCAACCCAGGATGCACCTCATGAAGTTGGTTTAGGGTCGTTACATTACAAGTAGTTCAAAAACTGTAAAGTTGTCTGCTTGACCATTTTTTATTTTTTTTTGAGTGAAAATACCCATGTAAACATTTTTTCATTAATTTCAATTTAATCATTTTTATTTTTATTTAATTAATTTATATTTTTTTATTACATTTTTTTTTAGGTTTGGTGTTTTTTCAATGGTAATACATAGAAGTGTATATCGTTTCTGATGCACACACAAATAAAACCCTCCACACCTCTTGTCAATGTTTCTGTGGTATTCTGAGATCACTGTCGTTCTTCCTCGGGTTATGTTTGTCATCGTCTCCTCCTCATCCATGATGTTTCCAGCTGAAATCTTCACTGGACACTGGAATTTTGGTTTCGGAAGAACTATAGCGGAAAATAAAGACATGAAAGACGCTTCAGAACAGGTTTTTTGAGATCATCTGTGACTAGGAAGTATTTTTTCCAAAACAAACAGCAGAGGTCAGTGTAATCAAACCCACATGTGATGATTCAATCATTTTAAATAATGAATTTTTGATTTTTAATTACACTTTTTGCAATAATCAAACTCAAATATGGTTCATTGTAATCAAACCCACACTAAATATTTTAAATTAATAAGTTCAATAATTGTAAAATCGTTTTAATTATTAAAATAATTTTTTAAGTAATCATTTAAACAATGTATTATTTTTAATAATACTTTTTACAACAATGTAAAAATAAAATAAAATGAATTTTCACCCATTTTATTGTCTTACAAAAGGAAATTGTGTATCTGATTGTTTACCATTTACGTACGTGGCAAACTTAAGAAATGATTCATTTGAATAATTTAAAATATTTAATCATTTAAATAATTTACTAATTTTAATAAACATCATTTTATAATCAAGCATTCAAAAAATTTTATTGTTTAATCATTTAAAAAGATTATCATTAAAAATTAAATAATTTTAGATAAATAATAAAACAAAAATGGTTTCTTTCTTTCTCAAATTTAAGATCTAAGGATATATGGTGAGAAACCTACATAAAGCCTCTTAAACATACATTTTAATCAACTTTCAGAGCATTTTTTTATTTTCTAAGTCTTAAAAGCATTTTTCATTTTCATTTCTAAGTCTTAAAAGTACAAATCTTCCATGTTGTCTCTCAATAAAAAAAAAAGAGCTAATAAAACCATATTGATTATATTAACACAAGAATAAATGTGGGGAAACAGTTCTAAATGTACAGTAAAGCATGTCCCTCTGCTGTAAGCATTTGCCATTTCGCTTATAACTACATGCATGAATACTAGTATTTTTTTTTACAGGAGGTTGAGTTTGTGAGTAAAGCCCACAGTGCCGAGCTCAACAACCTACATTATCTCCAGCATCACTTCCTGTGCTCCTACAGCTCCTACAGCTGCTTTACAGTCAAACCGCACTACTTCATATTTCAGAAGACCTCTGAATTTCAGTTATTAAAAGGAGTCTTATACAGTGTAATGAGTAAGTGCGAGTGCTGAACTCTCTGCCATTATTCCAATATTTCTGTACCTGGCGGAGGAGGCATTGAGACGGTGTAGACCGCTGACCTTCTCAACACTGAGCTCCTGCTATTCAGCAAACTCTCGTCTGTAACGTCACACTGGCCACCGCATCCAACATCTCCTGTCCACACACACACACACACACACACACACGACTTCTGCAAAGCCAAGGCAAACCAATTAAATTGACCAAGCGATGCGGGATGTTTTTGAGCACATTTTAAGCCAGCACAGACTGTTAGGTTTCATTTTATGCAGGGAAACGTGTGGATTATGTTTTTTCAATTTTGAACTTCTTTTCAAAATGTAAAAATCACCATTCATTCATTTGAATGAGAATTTAAACTGAAAGCACCATCTGAAGGATGTATTTAGTGAAAATTGCTGCTTCCTCTATTGTGCACTTGAACAC